GCGATGGCGGTGGCGGCGGTGGCGGCGGTGGCGGCGGCGATGGCGGTGGCGGTGGCGATGGCGGTGGCGGTGGCGGTGGCGATGGCGATGGCGGTGGCGGTGGCGGTGGCGGTGGCGGTGGCGGTGGCGGTGGCGGTGGCGGCGATAATAGCAGCAGCAGCAGTAGCATCAGCAGGTTGCTGGACGCGACTGTTGCGAAGAATGGCGCAGTATCGCCGCGAGTTGCCTTTCTCCGGTCTCCGATCAGATTCTCATATGAGGCTTGGGCGAACGCCATTTTGAACGGCGAATGATTATTATCGCAGTTAAGATGTTTCTCGCACATACCAACGATGAAAATATTGATGTGATTTCTTTTTATAATTATACATAAAATTGAACGCGAATGCTCAACAAAATGGTCGCTGAACAAAATGATAATGATAACGAGAGATATATATGAGAGATATACGTGAGATATATATGAGGACGGAAAAAAAGTGTAAGCTTCACGAACTACAATCGTCCAGATTCGTCACAGCCGCGTTCGTATCTTCGCTTTATTCTTTGTGTATGTAAGTATGTACGTGCAGTGTTATGCATCAAACATACCATTGCTCAGAAAATAGTTGCGAGTCTTAGTCACACATTCACTTTTCAATCGAATCGATTAGAAGACTTGGTGTTGGCGTAAAGCGCGTCGAGATAATCTGTATATCAAAGTAACGATTCGCGCTTGAGGAAATAATCGCTCTTCGTTGGTGCGGTTGTGCACAAAACATATCCAAGGATATAGAGTGCGCGATCGCGCACTCACAAGGATATTCACGCAACTTTTATCGAAACGAGTGATCGTTTATGAGCAAAACTTGGAATCCTGCACGCAGATACCGAATCTCTCTCAAATCTTGTTTAAATTTGTATATATGTAATTAGGCGCAATATGTACTACATTTGCGAGTCTTTCTTTTTTCTTTCAAGTCAATTACAGGTGCATATTTATGTGTAGTAGGACTTTGTTTATCGGATTATGTCGGACAAGACAATTTCAATAAATATTAACCAAATGATTCTGATAATAGAGGCTCATTAATTTTCTCTTCTATCAGTACTTGTTAGTTCTGATAGTAGGAGCTGACTTTCAGAAAATTTGAGTCAAGCCCAGCTATGAGTTTGGAACAGAGCACGAACTTGTTCATATAAATGCAATGCACAGATAAACGGAGTTCTATTGTATAATCGATATTGTAGAAATCACGCGAACTGTCATATTTTGTTAATCATTTATGTATCTTCTCTGTTTAGAAATAAAAATCTCAAATTTTCATGGAAACACGATTGTTTTATAAAACCTGTATATTTTGTCTCTGCATAAAAATTTATGCCAAATGAATAATTGTGATTGACTTATTATTTAAAATTTGAGGTATTAAATCTTGATTAATCAATAGTTCGCAAACTGATGGAGATTACTCATGGAATTACGCGTGCGTGTGCATGCGTGCGAGTGCGCGCGCGCGCGCGCGCGCGTGCGTGCGTGTATGAGTAGCGCGCGCAAGAGTGAGCTTCCGTTCCATTTTGAGAAATAAATTATATTACGGCTCGTAATAATTATGTTTGTATATGTTGAATATAATAATTTCAAGGACACGTAAACGAGATGCATACAAATATTTATTTTTGATTCTGTAATTGCATTTCGAATGTAGTGTAAATTAATTTGTAAAAAAGAAATACAGGAAATTATACACGTAATCGAAATTGTGCGACTCATGTCTTGTGAAATATATGTTTTGCTTATATATTATATAAAAAATACAAGATCATCATTAAAAAAAGTGTCAGGATATGTTATCGTTGCTGACATTATATCTCACAATATCGTCACAAATTCTTTCAGAAAAAAATTATATGAAATAAGAATTGGGAAGAAAAAGAAAGATCGATGTAAAATATTCAGACTTGTAGACTGTGTATGAAGATTTTAAGAAACACGAGCGATAAATTATTCCGAGTCCAGAACGAATTGAAATAAAATTCTAAAAGTGTGAAACTTTTGGTGTGAAATGACAAATACTGCGGGATATTAATACTTCATACTGTCGCGTTTATCAAACATTATTACAGAATTGATGCAAAATTACAACTGACTTTCTATATACATCATCATAATAATACAGTACGTAGTATCCCTGCTTTACTGTCTATATATATGTACACGTAGCAAAGTATATTACGTATATACATGTGTTTGATGAAGGACGCAACAGTTAAAACACAGTTAAAAACACACTCAGCTTCACACCACAGAGTACAGAGTATCTTATCATATCTCGTTGATTCACTAAGTAAAACCAATGCACACTTGTTTCATACAGAGGCATAATGCATCGTACTGCAGCTGATATAGCTCTAACAGACTTTGGAGTCTTGAAACGTAGTGTGACACGTTGTGCCTTCGTATGGAGCAAATACGCATAATCCCTTCATGTATGTGAGCGATGTGGCTGTGAGATCAGTGAGATCTCTTGTGTAGAAAGCAGTATTGTATTGTTAAATTAATGAACAAATATATACAGTTTCGACGTGTCTCCGACATATCCACATTTTTGTATAAGATATCATATAAAAATTTTATGCATCGCTCGTTTCCTTCAATTCAACGATATCTAATCAATTATTTTCCAAAATTTCTTTAAAAACTAGTTAAAATCTTGATATATCTGCTCACGAAAAACAAATTAAATGATATTGATTTAATGATGACGAAGCGTGTAGTCGCGCGTTAGCTGTTACAACGTCTAATAATGATGGCGTGGAAATAATGTGTTGAGGTAAGTCGATGATATATGAGTCTGGAAATATATGTATATGATGTATGTATATTCACGTCTTTCCAAAGGCTTCACTACTGCATTTCTGAGCACGATAGCGAGTGTTAATCAAGTATGAAACTTAACCATCAATTATTTTAGTATTAACTATTTCGAGTTGTGTGTCCGCGTATCAAAATGTATATACAAATTTATGTTAGTTATTTATGTTAATTATTTACATTGTTTAAAATGTATCATCTTTTTACAGGAAAACTAGTGATTTATATATTCTTATCTAATATCTAATATCATAAAGAAATTAACACGAATTTATAAGAATTGACTAATGTCCAATGTTATAATTAATGCTCTACTTGTGTGTGTGTGTGTGTGTGTGTGTGTGTGTGAAGTATTTATAATATTTTACTTATTAAATAATAGAGAT